TGAGAGCAGGGCATTTTTGTCTGTTTTATTCTTTTCTGTATCTCGGTGCCTACATCTAGTCGGTGTTTGATTAATATTTGCTGACTTGATAATGAATGAACTGAAGACATGGAGATATTGAGAAAAATTGCTCTGGCTCCATCGAGGAGGTGGGGACTAGAGGCAGGAAGAGCAGTGTAGGGTGATGATACAGGTAGAAAGTGACTGTGTCCTCTATCATGGAGACCAGGTCAGACCAGTCCAGAGGGAGGGGCTGTCCCTCCCCTATTGCACCACTCAGCAAGGAGGTTCTTTTTTTTTTTTTTTTAAGTTTATTTATTTAGAGAGAGAGAGAGAAAGTGCGAATGGGGGAGGGGCAGAGAGAGAGGAGAGAGAATCCCAAGCAGGCTCTGCACTATCAGCACAGAGCCTGACCGCAGGGCTTGAAACCCCCACAAACCGTGAGATCATGACCTGAGCCAAAGTCGGAGGCTTAACAGACAGAGCCACCCAGGTGTCCCACAGCCAAGATGTTCTTAAACTCGTCTTCAGTAAATTGAGAGTCAAGCATCGTGTGTGATGGGACTCATCACTCAGAAACCCTGTTCCAGGATCTAAGAAACAGTCTGAGCTCCTCAGCCTGGCATTCAATGCCCTTTAATTCCCACCTTCCCCTACACTCAAATGCTCCCCCGCCCCAGGAGACTGACAGGTCACCAGCAAGTGATTTGGGCTGGAAGGGGACTGGGGCTGACAGCAGGTGTCCCATCTAAAATAGGAAGCTGCCACCAACCCAGGAGACAAATAGGACAGTCCTCCTGACCTTCTCTGTCTTTCTGTCACTCTCACCTCTGGGATCTTCTGCCCCCAGGAGTGTGTCTTTGCCTGACTCCCACACCCCACCCCATGTGATAAGTCCTTTCCCAATGTCTTCCAGCTGTGTTTCTCTGTTGCCCCTTCTTCCCTGAAAGCTCTACTCCGGACCTCCCCTGCTTGCAGTGTCTCGCTATTTTCTCCTCTAAAGCCAGCCTTTCCTTGAAGCCCTTCAAGTGTTCCCCTCCCCCCCCCCCCGGCCTGTTGTCTGTCCCACAAATATGGAACGTCTGTGATTGTTTGATTCAGCCTGTACCTTTCTTCCATGTGTGCCCTCTACCCAGTGTCCCCTTTGCTTATCCTCCAATCCAGCCGCTATTAAGGGAACTGGTCAATGCTGTGTTCTCACCCCGGCACTGAGGTGCCCATGGGAGGAGAGAGGGTTCGTCCCCTTCTGCTCCAGCCAAAGCCCCAAGTCCTTAAGTCCGTCTTTACTTCATCAGCTCCCCCATCTTTGCTTCGAATCCCAGGTCACCTCTCCAGGTCTGTGGCTGAATAAGGAAACCACGTTCACACTGCCCTGAACCCTTCGCATGCCAAAGAGAGGCTGAAGGGATAAGGAGTGGGAGTGTCTCTGGGTCCCCAGGGTTGAAATGGAGAAAGCTCTGTGGGGATGTGAGTGTTCTTCTCTGCAGGGAGTGCCTTGTGCCCAGGAACTGAGGAGGAGAGAGTGCCACCAAGCATTCCGGCATGGACACGGACAGGAAGTAGTCTCAGCAAAGGATCTGGTGGAAGTGGGAGCAATGTCTTCTTTCACTTCTGCAGGGATCCAGGTATTACTGTTAATAGAGTGGGTTTGGGATTCTCAGCTTCTAGAATGCAATGATTCAGACCCCTTCTACACCTTTCCTGGGATGGCAAGGGGCTCTCAGAGCCGGACTCGCCCTTGGGAGAACAGGAACTTTCATTTTACTCCCCTACCACCCCTTTCCCTTACCTGCCACTGACTCAGAGGAAAGGATCGGGGAGCGCCTGGGTGGCTCCGTCAGTTAAGCGTCTGGCTTCAGCTCAGGTCACGATCTCACGGTTAGTGAGTTCAAGCCCCATGTCGGGCTCTGTGCTAACAGCTCAGAGCCTGGAGCCTGCTTTGGATTCTGTGTCTCCTTCTCTCTCTCTGCCCCTCCCCCACTCACTCTCTGTCTTTCACAAATGAATAAACATTAAATATATATATATATATATATAAAAAAAAAAGAAAGGGTCAGGACCAGGGCACAACCCAGCCCCAGGGCCACAAGCTGACACTGTCACACACAACCTCTTGTTCGGGATTCTCCCCCCGTTTTCATCAGTGCCCCACCTGGGAAGAAGATATCAGGCTGCCATTACCTGGGCTTTGGGAGGCCAGGGAGGGACATTAAAAACAATTCTCAGATTAGGGGCACCTGGGTGGCTCAGTCAGTTAAGTGTCCGACTTCATCTCAGGTCATGATCTCACAGCTTCTGGGTTCAAGCCCCGTGTCAGGGTCTGTGCTGACAGCTCAGAGCCTGGAGGCTGCTTCCAATTCTGTGTCTCCCTCTCTCTCTCTGCTCCTCGCCCGTTCATGCTCTTTCTCTCTCTCTCTCTCTCTCTCTCTCTCTCTCTCTCTCTCTCAAGAATAAACATTAAAAAATAATAATAATAACAGTTCTCAGGTACCAGGTATTTACATGGTCAGGTGCTCTGCTAAGCATATGACATGCTTGAGTTCACAGCGCTCTCTCAACAGCCGGGCGGTGCAGAAACCAATACCCCCACTTGGCAGACGAGGTCACTGTGGCTCACTTATCCAGGACACACAGAAAGGACAAGGTCTGTCTGATTCCAGAGTCAACCCCTCTGCAATGACTGTTGATTCACTAAACGTTCCTTGAGCACCTACTATGAGGCAAGCACTGTGGATGTAGTAGCAAACAGACAGTTCAAGTCCTGCCCTCTAGGAGGGCAGAGAGGCTGTAAATAGACAAACACACATAGGTTCTTTTTTTTTTAAGTGTATTTATTTTGAGAGACAGAGAAAGCAAGCAGGGGAGGGGCAGAGAGAGAGGGAGAGAGAGAGAATCCCAAGCAGGCTCCGCACTGTCAGCACAGAGTCCAATGCGGGGCTTGAACCCACGAACTCTGAGATCATGACCTGAGCTGAAATTGAGAGTCGGATGCTTAACCAACTGAGCCACCCAGGCGCCCCAGCACACATACATTCTAACGTCAGGGAGCAGTGAGCACCTCAAAAAAATATAGCAATTAATGGCTGCAGAGGAGTGGAGGTGGCTGTTTCCCCATAAGGTGGTCAACGAAAGCAACCGTGAGGACGAGAATTTGCTTTGAGATCTGAATGCAGTGAAGGAGTGAGCCATGTAGATGAGTTTGAAGAACAGAGAAGGCAATCTGTGGAACTACACCCAGCATGTAGATTATTTTTTAATTGAAGTCTAGTTGATACACAATGTTACATTAGTTTCAGGCGTACAACATAGTGACTGCACAACTCTATACAACATGCTATGCTCACCATAAGTGTAGCTACCATCTGTCACCAAACAACGCAATGACACTATTATGATACCATTGATTATATTCCCTATATTTCATCCCCGTGGCTAATAACTGGAAGCCTGTACCTCCCACTCCCCTTCACCCATTTTGCTCATGCCCCCTACCCCCTCTGCTCTGGCAACCATCAGTTTGTTCTTCAGATTTATGGGTCGATTTCTCTTTTTTGTTTGTTATGTTTTTTAGAGTCCACATATAAATGAAATCACATGGTATTTGTCTTTCTGTCTGATGCATTTCAGACAGATAGACTTTGGGTCTATCCATGTTATCACAAATGGCAAGACCCCATTCTTTTTTATGGCTGAGTAATATCCCATTGTGTGTGTGTGTGTGTGTGTGTGTGTGTGTGTGCGCGTGCGCACACGCACGTGCACACGTGTATACACAACTTCTCTACCCATTCATCTATTGATGGACACTTGGGTTGCTTCCAAATGTTGGCTATTGTAAATAATGCTGCAATAAATGTAGGGGGGCATATACCTTTTCAAATTAGTGTTTTCATTTTCGGTGGGTAAATAGCCAGCCCTGGAATTGCAGGATCATATGGTAACTCTATTTTTAATCTTTTGAGAAACCTCCATACTGTTTTCCACAGTGGTTGCACCAAGTTTCATTCCCACTAACAGTGCACAAGGGTTCCTTTCTCTCCACATCCTCCCCAACACTTGTTATTTCTTATCTTTTTGATACTAGCCATTCTGACAGGTGTAAGGTGATATCTCACTATGTTTTTTTTTTTTAAGTTTTATTTATTTTAAGTAATCTCTACACCCAGCATGGGCTTGAACTCACAATCCCTCCATCAAGAGTCATACGCTCTTCTGACTAAGCCAGCCAGGCTTCCTTCATTGTGGTTTTGATTTGCATTTCTCTGATGATGAGTGATGTTGAGCATCTTTTCATGTGTCTATTAGCCATCTGTATGTCTTATTTGGAAAAATGCCTATTCAGGTCCTCTGCCCATTTTTTATCAGATTGTCTGCTTTTTTAGTGTTCAGTTGTATAAGTACCTTATATATTTTAGATATTAACCCCTTATTGGATATATCATTTGTAAATATGTTTTCCCAGATGCCTTTTTGTTTTGTTGATGGTTTCCTTCACTGTACAAAAGCTTTTTATTTTGGTAGTCTCAATAGCTTATTTTTGCTTTTGTCTCCCTTGTCTGAGGAGATATAATCAGAAAAATACTGCTACGGCAGATATCAAAGAGATTACTGCCTATGTTTTCTTGTAGGAGTTTTATGGTTTCAGGCCTCACATTTAGGTCTTTAATCCATTTTGAGGGGCGTCTGGGTGGCTCAGTCAGTTGAGCGTCCGACTTCGGCTCAGGTCATGATCTCGTGGTCCGTGAGTTCCAGCCCCGTGTTGGGCTCTGTGCTGACAGCTCAGAGCCTGGAGCCTGTTTCAGATTCTGTGTCTCCTTCTCTCTCTGACCCTCCCCCATTCATGCTCTGTCTCTCTCTGTCCCAAAAATAAATAAACTTTAAAAAATCCACTTTGAGTTTATTTTTGTGTATGGTGTGAGAAAATGGTCCAGTTTCATTCTTCTGCATGTATCTGTCCAGTTGTCCCAGCACCATTTATTGAAGAGACTGTCTTTTCACCATTTATATTCTCAGAATGCATATTTTTTTCAAAATCTTGTTTCACATGGTATTAGAAGACACTTATCTCATAACCAAATCCTCCCAATTTCTGATTCCTTTGAAAAGCTAGAGTGTATCCTTTGGGAGTCCCCATCACACTCCCCAACAAAACAATCCAGTGTGGCCCCTGAGCACAGCAGCCCACCTGGGTTTCCAACGCTGAATGGTGCTGTCCAGGTACCAGGTTCTGGAAAAGGAAAAACAAGTCTCATTGACAGTGCAGAGGAGCTCGGGGTCTGTGAGGAGTTCCCTTCAGCACGGGATGGTGACACTTGAGCCAGGACATCTCTCCCCAAACTCTCCCTATTCCTTGACCTCCAAGCTAGAGGTGAGAGCATATGACAGGAAACTTGGTTCATTCATTTATTCATTCAGCAGCTCTAGTAGTTCACAATCACCCAGTAGTTTCTGACAGTCAAGGTTGCTGGTGAGGGCCCACACCAGGCAGTTACAAAAAATTTCCTACAGGGGGCGCCTGGGTGGCTCAGTCGGTTAAGCGTCCGACTTCGGCTCAGGTCACGATCTCACAGTTCGTGAGTTCAAGCCCCGCGTCGGGCTCTGTGCTGACAGCTCAGAGCCTGGAGCCTGCTTCACATTCTGTGTCTCCCTCTCTCTTTGCCCCTTCCCTGCTCATGCTGTGTCTCTCTCTGTCTCAAAAATAAATAAACATTAAAAAAATTTTTCCTACTGAAACATTCAGTCCTATTGTTTACCCCTCTGTCTGCTGCCCTTCATCTCCATTCTCTGCAGCTGATGACTTTGTAGATGTGAGGCCCAACATCTCCCCCGGCTCTTCCTGAAAGAATGGGAGGCACATTCTGCAAATTAACTGACCAGGTACTGGTACTTTTTTCAAGTATCAAGGTCATGAAAGGCTGAGGAATTGACATAACCGTCATCCAGTATGACATCCATCCTGGATGCTGGGTGTCAGGGAGTAAGGACGGGGGACTCCCAAAGAACACAGCTCTGGATTTTCAAAGGAATCAGAAAATGAGGGGATCTGATTATGAGATAAGCAGTTGGTTGACTCAAGTCCTCTTCTAAAACCATGTAAAACAAAATTTTTTTTAAAAATCTACATTCTAAGTGGATGCCTGTCTGGCTTGGTCGGGGGAGGGAGTGGCACGGTAGCATGCAACTCTTGATCTTGGGGTCATGAGTTCGAGCCCCACGTTGAGTGCAGAGATTGCCTAAATAAATAAGTAAACCTCAAAAAATCTGCATTCTAAGAATACACAATGGGGAATTTATAAATATTCATAAATTGGAGGAGCCTCAGAAGACACAAAAAACTAAACACAATGTGAAATTCTAGATAAAATATTGGAAGAGAAAAAGGCCACTCATGGAAAAAAATAAACTGAAATGCAGTCTGTAGCCAGTAGTGTTGTACCAATGCCAATTTCTTTTTAATTTAATTTAATTTTTTTTAACTTTTTTAACGTTTATTTATTTTTGATACAGAGAGAGACAGAGCATGAACGGGGGAGGGTCAGAGAGAGAGGAAGACACAGAATCCGAAACAGGCTCCAGGGTCCGAGCTATCAGCACAAAGCCCAATGCGGGGCTCAAACCCACCAACCATGAGATCATGACCTGAGCCGAAGTTGGATGCTTAACCTACTGAGCCACCCAGGTGCCTCTGTTAATTTCTTAGTTGTGTTCATCGTATCATGATCTTGCAAGAGGTTGTCATGAGGGGAAGCTAGGTGAAGGGGAAGCAAAATATCTTTGTACTCTCTGCAACGTCTCTGCACTTCTGAAAGCATTTCAAATTTATTTGTTTGTTTGTTTGTTTGTTTGTTTAGAGAAGGAGCAGGGGAGGGGCAGAGGGAGATGGAGAGAGAGAATCCCAAGCAGGCTCCATGCCCAGCACGGAGCCGGATGCAGGGCTTGATCCCACAACCATGAGATCAGATCATGAACTGAGCTGAATCAGGAGTCAGACTGAGCCACCCAGATGCCCCAAATATATGATTTTATAAAAGACTCTTCAAATATCTGCCATTTTTTATCTTCCTCAGTGTCTTTCCACTGCATGAAAGCTTTTGATCAGATAATGAAAGGGAATTCTGAAACCCTTTAACATCATTTCCTTCATTAATTACCCTAAACCACAGCTCTTCTGAGTCATATTTATTGACCCCTCCTGTGTAACCTTCCCCTGAACCCCCTTTAAGGTAGAATGGCTTATAGGCAGAATGAAAGGCCACTTCTGGAACCTCTTAGAACTGTTGAGCTTGCACAGAGGTCAACCTCTAACCTCAGTTTCAGCATCAGAGCGATGGGTAGAGACAGGACATATGGCTAAACATCCTACCACCACAGGATACCCACAAACACACACACACAAAGAATTATCTCATCCGAACATCAATAGTGCCAAGGTTGAGAAACCCTACAATACATCCCTTCCTACCCCCATATTTCCTCTGTAGCAGGGAAAGCAAGTCAGGCTGCAAGAAGAATTCAAAGCCCCTTAAAAGCTCTCCTCATGAAGGCCACGTTCCCTAGTGAGGCAGTCCCATTGGGACTCTCTCAAACCAGTTCTAGGGTCAGTTATGGGCTTCAGATGGATCCAGTCCTGCCTCCTCCCCCAGAAGTAGGGGTAGATGCCAAGGGAAACTAGAGATACATAATCTCATAATTAAGCCTTCTTCCAGGACCTGCCCTAACCCACCTTTCTGAGATTTAAACAACAGCATGGGCCCCGCCTTCCTCCCGGCCATGTGCCTGAGACCTGGGGTGTCAAGTTCCCCAGGACCTTCAAGCACTCCCTCCCCCACCTCCATGGGAAAGGTAAACATGGTGTATACCCACACACCTGTGGGGGCACCCAGAGACCCACCTGGCCTCCCAGGCCCTTGACCTCAGGGGCTCTCTCTCCCATCCTATCTTCTGCCACTAGAGTCCTAGGCTCACTCCATGTTTTTGAAACCTTCCCTTCTGATCTGGCCAGTTACTGGGGCAGGTGCACAGAGCAGACATAGCTGGTGGGGGCTGAGGAGAACAGGGGGAAGACTATGTGGGCAGAAGGCAGCAGGGGAATCATTCAAATCTGAGATCTGGAAGCACCGAGCTGGCTCAGTCAGTGGAGGGTGCAACTCTTGATCTCAGGGTTGTGAGTTCAAGCCCCACATTGGGTGTAGAGATTACTTAAAAATAAAATCTTTAAAAAGGAAAAAAAAAAAAAAAAACAAGGGGTGCCTGGTGCCTGGGTGGCTCAGTTGGTAAGTGTCCAACTTCGGCACAGGTCATGAACTCCCGGTTCGTGAGTTTGAGCCCCGCATCTGGCTCTGTGCTGACAGCTCAGAGCCTGGAGCCTGCTTCAGATTCTCTGTCTCCCTCCCTCTCTCTCTGCCCCTCCCCTGCTCATGCTCTGTCTCTCTCTCTCTCTCTCTCTCTGTCTCTCTCTCTCTTTCTCTGTCTCTCTTAAAAATAAATAAATGTTAAACATTTTTAAACAAAACCAAAAAAATACCCAAATCTGAGGTCCTTTCTCCTCCACTTCTCCCAAACCCTTCTCCCAAACCCTCCTCCTAAACCCTCCTCCAACTTCCCCCTACTTCAGTCCTGCCACTGCAGTCTGACTCGTGGAGGTGTGAGACAGAAAGAGAAAGGGACAGAAAGAGAAAGAGACAGAAAGAGAAAGAGACAGAAAGAGAAAGAGAGACAGAAAGAGAGATGCTCGGAGACAGGAGGAGATGGTGGCTGAGAAAGATGTACAGGGAGAGAGAGACAGAGAGAAAGAGAAAAGGCATGGGGAGAATTAGAGACAGAACAGAGATGAGAGACAGAGACTCAGAAATGCAGAGGATGAGAGAACAAGAGAGACAGAGACATAAAGAGAGACAAAAAAGATTCAGAGGCAGAAGCAAAGTGAGACAGATACAGAAACTCAGAGACAAACCACAAGAGACGGAGAATGGCCAGAGGGCTGTGAACAGGCTCCAGAGAATGAGAGAACTCCAGCCCAGGACAGAAAGGAACTTGCCTGAGGTCACATGCAGTCACAGGCAGAAATGAACTTGACCCCAGATGAATAGAACCAAGTGCCTAAAACACCAAAGAGACCCTGCCCCCACCCCTGGTTCATTTTGCCCAGCCCCCAAACCCCGGGTCAAACCCAAAACCAGACTCAGGGCTCCGAATGGCAAACAAATGGAGATTTTGCCCCACTCCAGGGAAAACGGCCACTACTGACCACAGGAATGGGTGTTGAGGTCAGCCCGAAAGAGGCCAGTGGAGGGTTCCCAAGGGATGGCACCCACCCAAGGCACCACTCCAACTGGCTGCAAGCCCGGGCCGCTCCCAAGGTAAGGTATAAAAGTGAAAGGGATTAAAAGTCACTGGGAAAACTGGGTGTGGAGGGGCACGGGCTGTGGACAGAGGTGATTTAAGAGCAGCCCCCTTCTCCCCAGGCCACAGAGCCACAGGGCACACGCCTGGAGCAGATCATATCTCAGCCATCCTAGAAGTTCAGCAGGTAAAGGGCCAAGTGCGGGTCACAGAGGAGGAGGGTGGCTCTCAAGAGCAGGGTCATCAGCTTCATTTCCTTGTCACTACGATTGTCCGGGGTCTCCCTTTTCCTCTTCTGAGGGTTCTCAGGGTCTCTGGGCCTGTGTTTCTGGGGCTCTCTCTGGCTTTGTTCGTTCATTTGACAAATGTTTTAAAGCTCACAGTAGGCTGAGCACTGGGTCTTGATCACTGGCTCTTTACCCAGCGGGTAGCATCTGTGGAATGAGCCCTGAGCCCATGGGGTCAGAACCCCTGATTCTTTTCTATCTGATTCTGCCCCCTTCTCTGTCTCAGTCTGTCTTGGCCTCTGTTTCTAGGTGTCTGTCTAATGTTCTGTGTGTGTGTGTGTCTGTCTCTCTCTTGCCCTTTCTCTACCTTTCAGTGCCCATCTCTAAGTCTCTCAGGAAGTGTGTGTCTGTCTGTCCACCTCTCTTCTGTCTCTAGCTCTGTGCCTTGATTTGTCTGTCTCTGTCCTTGCGTGTCTCTATCTCTTATCACTCTCTGTGTGAGAGTCAGTCTCATGATAGACGGCAGATGATGACAGGCAGACAGATGATAGAGAGACATCTATAGATATTCCGATATCTTACTTGGTTGTTCCAAATACCTCATTATCTCCATGTGTATCTCTGTCTCTCTGTCTCCATCTCTCCATCGGTCTCTGTTCCGTTGCTGTCTCTCTTGCTGTTGGTCTTTCTGCATTTTGACTGCCTCTGCCTCTGTTTTCTCCTGGTCTCCATGCCCTTTCTTTCCTTCTCTGTCCCCACCCCTCACTTCTGTCCCCTCAGGCCTTGGTTGTTCCCTCTCCCTGCCTCTCTACCTCCTCCCTTCTCTCTCTCTCTTTTTTAACATTTATTTATTTATTTATTTATTTATTTATTTATTTAGAGAGATAGCCCAAGCAGGGGAGGGTCAGAGAGATAGGGAGAGAGAGGATCCCAAGGCGGGGCTCAAACTCAGGGAACCACGAGATCATGACCTGAGCAGAAATCAAGAGTCCAATGTCTAACCAGCCGAAACGCCCAGGTGCCCCTCCTTCCTTCTTTTCTTCTGCCCCCATTTCCAGGGTGTGGGGGAGGAAAGTCCCAGGAGCTGCAGAGTGAAGGGATCTTGCTCCCTCCCTGGCCCTGCGGGTCCGATGCTCTCCCACTTCACTCCCCAGATGCCTGCGGCTGCTTTCACCATAGACAGTATGAGCACAGCCATCTTGCTCCTGCTCCTGGCTCTCACCTGTGTGCTCCTGATGCTCAATTCAAGGGGCAAGAGCCGGCTGCCCCCAGGCCCTAGGCCCCTCCCACTCCTGGGAAACCTGCTGCAGCTTCGCTCCCAAGACATGCTGACTTCTCTTACCAAGGTGCAAGGACCTAGGGTTGGGTGAGAAGGGAGGAACAGGGGGAGGGGTCCCAGGGTCCCAGACCCTCCCCCGCATGACATCTGTTTTCCTACCCTCAGCTGAGCAAGGTCTATGGCTCGGTGTACACAGTGTACCTGGGGCCCAGACGCGTAGTGGTCCTCAGCGGGTACCAAACCGTGAAGGAGGCCCTTGTGGACCAAGGGGACGATTTTAGTGGCCGCGGCGACTACCCCACCTTTCTCAACTTCACTAAGGGCAATGGTAAGCCTGCTCCCCATCTTCTCCCCTCTCCAGCTCACTCCACATTGAGGGAGGGGATAAGGGTAGGGGACTGTCCTCCCAATTTTGGTGACACTCAGGGCTACTGATCTCACCAATGACACCAGCTGGGATGGAGCCAGACAGTGCTAGTCTAGGTAGACTCAGTTCCACCTTCTCCATCCCCAAATCCCACCACCATTTTGAAATGCACTTCCACACCAATCCCCCACCTGCGTCCAACTCCAGCCCCATTCTCATCCCAATCCCTATCTCTAGCCTAACCACATTATCAAATCTCCATCTCAGTCAAGTGGGCAAATTATCTGGCCCAGCCCACATTGTCCACCTCAACCCAGTCCTTGTCAACCCTACCTCCATGTTCCCCATTCCAACCTCAACTTTCATCATTACCTGCAACCCTGACTTCATCGCCCTCCAACCTCCATTCCCATTATGAACCCTCTCCCAAACCCCACATTAAAATCTGTTATCAACCCCATCCTGACCATCAAACTGAACTCCACCATTATTTTTCTCCCCAGCCCCAGCCCTATCTTCTATCCCAATCACCCATTGAAGTTGCTCGTTTCAGTTTCATTTTCAACCCTAACCAAACCGCCATCACCAAAACTAACCCCAGCACATATCCACCCAGCCCCAAGCTAATCTCAAGCCCAATCTACCAGTCTTTTCCATTCTATACAACTCCATTCCCATCAGCAACCTCAATTTATCATCAACCCCATAATCCCTCCTCCTCCCCCATTGTCATCCCATCCCAATCCAAACCCAGGTCCATCCCACCTAGCCAACAACTTACATCAACTCCAAACCTCTTCTATCTCAATACCCTGTCCTCCTTAGGTTTGGAAATCACTTAGCCTTCCGGGTTTTCTTTCTTTTTTTCTTAAAATTTTTTTTAATGTTTATTTTATTTTTGAGAGAAAGAGACAGAGTGTGAGCAGGGGAGGGATAGAGGGAGAGGGAGACACAGAATCTAAAGCAGCCTCCAGGCTCTGAGCTATCAGCACAGAGCCCAACGCAGGGCTCAAAGCCATGAACCATGAGATCATGATCGGAACCAAATCTGGACGCTTAACCGACTGAGCCACCTAGGCACCCTGTTTCTTTCTTTCTTCTTTTTTTTTTAACATAAATCTTTTATTCAGAGAAAGCCATAAGACAAAGCCCAATAAATGACAAGGGAAAGGGAGGGGGAGAAAGAGATAAGATTGGCAGAAAGTTGCTCTGATTGAAACGGGGATCCTGGAGACCTGCATCCTCAACTATCCTTCTCCCCCTAAAGAACCCCTGGGGCTCCTCCTGTCCCCTTCACTAGGTGGGTATCAGCTGCTCCAGGATTTGGAAGCAAAGAGCTCTAGTTGAAAACAAGAACAGGGGCACCTGGGTGGCTCAGTGGATTAAGCATCCAGCTCTTGATTTCAGCTCAGGTCATGATCTCACTGTTGGTGAGATCAAGCCCCACATCGGGCTCTGCACTGATGGCATCTGGAGCCTGCTTGGGATTCTCTCTCTCTCTCTCTCTCTCTCTCTCTCTCTCTCTCTATCTCTCTCTCTCTCTTCCCTCTCCCTCTCTCTCAAAATAAACTTTAAAACAAACAAACAAACAAAAAACCCAGTGCATTGAGTACACATTCCACCTTCATGTCCCCTTCCCGGTCTTGGTCTGATGACCTCACCCGTCCAGGTACACCAGGTACAAGGAAGTGGAGACAGTAGCGGTTTCTTTCTACTTGCCACACAGAAACCATCTGGATACATACTTTATCTGTTACTAGTTCTTCCTTACATAGTACAAAGGATAACAACAGGGTTCTGCTCCTTCCTGGGTGTGTGCCTTTGGACAAGTGGCTTCCTCTCTCTGACCCTGAGTTGGCTGGGATGAGAAAGCTGTTTGCTCCAAGTCAATGAGATAAGGCAGATGGTGCAAGGCAATCAGCGTCGTTTTTTCTTCTTTCACTTCTAGTTCTCTGCTTGCTCCAGGGAAACCAGAGACAAACACATCGGGAGACCTTATCCTATTGTAGCCCCATCACCAAATTATGACCACCTAGCGTAGTCAGGGCTGGAATGGGGAGCTGTAGGAGACCAGCGGCAAGTGCCTGAGCCAGCCAAGGGAGGGTCAGCAAGGGCATCGCGGAGGAAGGGACCTCTAAGCTGAGACCTAAAAGATGAGGACCACCATTCAGGAGCAGACAGATGTTGAAGAGTGTTCTGGTAGGACTAGCCTGTGCAAAGACCCCGAGTCCATGGAAAGAAGGTTCCTAGACGAAGTCCTAATGTTTATTTCTCTTGCTTTTCTCCCTCGTTTGTGCTTTCATTAATTAATAAGCAATCACCAGCACCTCCTGTGTGGTAAGGCCGGTGCTGGACAATGCTAGGGACAAGGTGGTGACCAAGACAGCCCCTCCACCCCCCATCTTCACAGCTTAGAGAAGGAGATAGCCCTTCTCTATGGTGATGGTCCAGAGTGATCAGGTCTGTGATGAGGGAAACAGAGAGATCAGGACTATGGTGAGGAAGCCCATGGCCCTAGGGAAGCTCAGAGAAGGCACCTGACCTGGTCTGGAGGGTTAGGAAGGGCTTCCTGGGAGGGGGTAGATTCCACACTCTGAGTCTCTTCCCCAGAAGACACCGGGAAAGGGGACTCAGGTGGCGGCGGTCTTGGAAATAAGCGATCAGTAGAGCTGGCCCCTCCCCTTCTCGCCAGGCCTCGCCTTCTCCAATGGGGACCGGTGGAAGGCCCTGAGGAGGTTCTCCATCCAGATTCTGCGGAACTTCGGGATGGGTAAGAAGAGCATCGAGGAGCGGATCCTGGAGGAAGGCCGCTTCCTGCTGGCGGAGCTACGGAAAACTGAAGGTTGGTCCTCGAACGCAGTTGATACGCCTAACTCACATCCATCTTACTTAGTCGTCAGGACTGCCAGAGAGTGTGGGCGTGAACTTAAAACTGCTGGAGGCTCCTCACTTGGCCCACGGTGAGAGTGGTGCCCCCTGGAGGTGGGTCAGCTCCAGGTGCTATGTTCTCTGAGGTACGGCAGCAAGACGGGTTATGTGGTGGTTGATCCGTTGCGCTGTCCCTGCGTGGTATTCTGAATGCAGTGTGTATCATTGTGGTGGATGGTGATGATGATGATGATGATGATACTTTTTTTTTTAACATTTATTCATTTTTAAGAGAGACAGAGCGCAAGCAGGGGTGGGACAGAGAGTGAAAGAGACACATAATCCACAGCAGGCTCCAGGCTCTGAGCTGTCAGCACAGAGCCCGACACAGGGCTCGAACTCACAAACTGTGAAATCACAACCTGAGCTAAAGTCGGACGCCCAACCGACTGAGCCCCCCAGGCGCCCCATGATGATGATACTCTTGACACCACACCACTTATGGGGGCCCTGTGTTAAGCACACTTTCGTGCATAAGCCCCTGGAGCCTCAGAACGATCCATTTTGCAGAAGAGGAAACAGAGGCATAGAGATCAACCAACTGTCTTGAAATGATCAAGCTAGTCAGTGGAGAAGCAAAGGTTTAAACCCGGTTCTTGCCGACACCAAGGTCCACACTTTGCACATGAATGCCCGTTTACTGAGTACTTACTGAGACCAGGGGCTGTACTAAACTCTTCACACATATGAACACATCCCACGTCCCCTGAAACCCTAGGAAGCTATTACAAGTGATGAACCTCAGGCCCAGAAAGGTTAAGTCATGTACCCAGGAAGTGGCAGAGCTGGGGTGTAAAACCCAGCTCAAAACTGCCCACCCATGAAAAAACAAACAAACAAAAAAAAAGAGTTAAAAATAAAGACACTTACATGGTGCCTACCATGGGCCAGCACTGTTCCAAGAATTTCGTGTATATTACCTCCTTGAACAATCACCCAAACCTAAGCAGGAGTCCTATTTTAAACCCCATTTTACAGGAGAAGAAACTAAAACACAGAGAGGCAGACAGCCCTCTACCCTGATCTCCAAATCTTGCTGGCTTTTGACAGGAAAAAAAAAAAAAATGATGCTGCAGGGTTGGAATGATGGGATGTAAGTAAAGGAATAACTGCCTGAGTTAGTTTCCTGTAGCTGCTATTAAAAAAAAAAAAAAAGCCGCAAACTTAGTGACTTAAAGCAGCACACATTTATTCTCTTACAGTTCTGGAATCCAAAGTCTAAAACTAAAACGGGTGGGCAGAGCTGACTCCTGGAAACTCTAGGGGAAAATCCATTTCCTTGCCTTTTCCAGCCTCTAGAGGCCACCCACGTTCCTGACCTCGTGGTCCCTTCCCCTCTTCTTCAAAGCCAGCAACACAGCATCTCCCAATATCTGTATTTCTATCTCTCTCTCTCTCCCTCCTCCCTCACTGTCCCTCTCCATCATCACATCACCTTTTCTTACTCAGACCCTTCCGCCTCCATTGTAATTACATTAGATCCACTCGGATAAGCCAGAGAATAATCTCCCCATCTCAAAATCCTTAATTTAATCACAGGTTCACAGGCTCTTAGAGATTAGGACATGGACATTTGGGGAGGGGGAGCATTATTCAGCCTACCACAGCACCCCAGCTTATACAGGCTCAGGATGGGCCAGGCCACACTTCCAACTCCTTCCACCAGCCCCATGAGGAGAAGACTGTCACCAAGCCCATTTTACAGACGAGAAAGCTGAGGTTCAGAGAAGGGAAGTCAGTTTATCCAGGTCACACAGAGATTAAGAAACCAAGGCCAAGTCCAAACTGTATCTATCTAACTCCAGACTCCGTTTTCTGGGCCGTGCTGTGTGCCATGGCCAATGGGCTATTTTCTGTGATCCCTTCAGTGGTCAGACCACTGGGTGTTAGGGGTTGTGTCGCTGTGTCACCGCTGGCTGAGGCTGTAGTGTTGTCAGGCGCTGACGTAGTATTGTGTTGTGTTGTTTATTGCGTGTGTTGTCTTGCGTGGTGCGTGCTGCGGGTCGGATGGCAAAGAGGAGCCTGTTCCGTTGCTTGGTTGTGGTGTGGATGTGCCGCAGGGCCTTGTGGGTTCTGCGTTGCCAGGTACTCTTGCGGTTGTTTATGACTGCATGCTGGGTGGCCAACGAGCACTTGTTTTGTGCTCCAAGTGACCTTGCCTCGTTGTACTGCCATTCAGGAATCCGGTGTGTTGCACAATGTGCCCCTTGACTCATTCTGCCCCTGACCCTCAGGCAAGCCCTTCGACCCCACGTTCGTGCTCAGCCGCTCGGTGTCGAACATCATCTGCTCTGTGATCTTCGGCAGCCGCTTTGACTACGACGATGAACGTCTGCTCACCATTATCCGCCTCATCAATGACAACTTCCAAATCATGAGCACCCCCTGGGGAGAGGTCAGGAGGCCTAGTTGGCGGGGGTACAGGGTTGGGGTTCGTCCTGGGACATAGGGGAAACAGCGGGCGGGGAAGAGGTGCGCTTGACCCTGTCTGGCCCCGCCCTTTCCCGTCTGGCCCCGCCCCGCCTAGCCTAAGGTCACTCTCTCCACCAAGTTGCCACACACAGAGTCCCCGCTCCACCCCGGCCTCTCCAGAACCTAACTGACCCTCAAGACTCCGCCCGCCCGCCCGTGCCTACCTGCTCCGCCCTGACCTCACCGGCCTCTGCCCCCCACACACTGCCTGATCCTCCAAACCCCTCCGACCCTCCCCCCATCCCCAGTTGTACAACGTCTTTCCAAGCGTCCTGGACTGGTTACCTGGGCCGCACCGACGCCTTTTCCGGAACTTCGGGCGCATGAAGGACCTCATCGCCCGCAGCGTCCGCGACCACCAGGACTCCCTCGACCCCAGCTCTCCCCGCGACTTCATCGATTGCTTCCTCAGCAAGATGGCACAAGTAAGCCCGGCCTGGAAGTCTCATCCCTGATCTGACCTGCTGCCCCAGCCTCAAGCCAACGAGGATCCCGGGTTGAGCGGGTTTGAGAATGATCTCCCTGCCTCCCGGGAAGTGCAGTTAGAACTCCCCAGAGCCACTGGGGGCCACGGCCCGCCCCGATTAACAGCTCATTAAGAAGTCCCTAAGGCTCTGTTAATTGTGGGCCCTGCGGCTGAGATTTTCTCTAGCCGGCCCTTACGCACTCCCCAGCTTCCCCCGACCGAAAGAAAGTTAAACAGAGGAGGGACTGAGCTGACACCCAACAGGGGTTGTGCAGAGCTGAGCCTGTGGTCAGTGTCCGGGCGGGATCTCCTGGCCCGGGCTCGTATCCCCGCCCCTCAACCTCCGCAGGAGAAGCAAGACCCGCACAGCCACTTCCACATGGATACCCTGCTGATGACCACACATAACCTGCTCTTTGGGGGCACCGAGACCGTGGGCACCACGCTGCGCCACGCCTTCCTTGTGCTCATGAAGTACCCAAAAGTGCAAGGTGCGCGCGCCCCAAGCCTGCCCACAGCGCCAAGGGCCACACCCGCTCCGCACGCGTGCCCCACGGGCCTCAGCTCGCTCGCCTCGAAGCCCCGCCCAGCATGCCAGACAGCCCAATCCTCCGGCTTACGCCCGCCCGGGACCCACAGCCAAACCCACAAACCCACACGGAGGCCCAGCCCACCCACACGGTTCCCGCGGTCCACACAGCTTGCCGGACCCCGGACCCCGCCCTCATGGTCTTGCTTTGCGGCCCACCTCTGACCCTGACCACCCAGCACGCGTCCGGCCTCGGAGCCGGGATCTCCCAGTCCGCCTAGAGCCTGGCCCTGAGCCTCAGCTGCAGGGCCAGCCAGGAACCATCAGTCTGACCCACAAAGTCTGACCACCTGCCCACACAGCACGGTCTGCGACCCCATCTCGCCCAAACCACGCCTCTGGGCAGATCCCGGAACCCTGGCCTCCGGCACAGAGTCTGTTAGGGTCCACGCCGCCTGCCGCATCCGGGATCTCTCGGAGCTTACGCACAGCCCACCCATTCGACCCACCCCCCAGCGGGTCAGGTCCTCCCATCGGGGACCTGGACTCCAGGCAGCCCCTAAGCCCCTCCCGCCCAACCCCGCCCCTAGGAGCCCTTGCACCAAACAAATTTTCGTCCTCACCTACAACTCTCAAACCAACCCTTCCCTCCGTGGCCCCCGCTAACCCCCACAGTGACCTCTGCAGCGGCCCTCCTACTGGGAAGCGGGGGCTGGACCCCGCCCACACAAGCATACCCCGCTCCCCAGCCCAGTCGAGCCCTCTGGTACCCCCGACTAGGCTCCCCTCTCCACCTGCAGCCCGCGTACAGGAGGAGATCGACAGCGTTGTGGGACGGGCGCGGCTGCCTGCGCTGGAGGACCGAGCGGCCATGCCTTATACAGATGCGGTGATCCACGAGGTGCAGCGCTTCGCAGACGTCATCCCCATGAACTTGCCGCACCGCGTCACCCGGGACACAGCCTTTCGCGGCTTCCAGATACCCAAGGTGTGCTGGGCATCTGGCAATGGACAGCTGGCACACTAGAAGAGGCATCCCAGATTTGCTCATGGCTTCCGGGGCTCTAGCAAGGAGGATCCCAGGCCCTAGCAATCAGTACCCTGGGCCTTAGCGACTGGCATCCCAAGCCCCAGCAACAGACATCTGAGGCTCTTAAATCCAGAGCCTCAGCCCCTTCCCAAGACCCTATTCGGTACTGAAATGGACTGGATCCTGACCCTGAACTCCAGATCTCTTCCCCATGACAGGTTCCCTAACCCCTCTCCAGCAACCCCAGGGTCTAAGACTTCATCCTGGGGGTCCCCTGTGCCTAAGCACTGTTCTGAGACCTCTCCCTCTTCCCAGAAACCCCAAACCTGCTCTGACAAGGGGAGGTATCCCCCATCCCTGTGCACACAGCTTCCAGCACCCACTTGGGACCCCAGACAGTGACACACATTTCCTGAATCCCTGATGGAGTCCTATGCTTCACATCGCCTTCTCAAGTCCCTGGGACCTCCAGCCCGGTCAAATAGAAGTTTTAGCTTGAGAATCTCCCAGATTTTCTACCCCACTGATTCTGCCTCCCTACTCACACAGGGCACGGATGTCATCACCCTCCTTAATACAGTCCACTATGATCCCAGCCAGTTCCTGACGCCCCAGGAATTCAACCCTGAGCATTTTCTGGATGCCAATCAGTCCTTCAAGAAGAGCCCTGCCTTCATGCCCTTCTCAGCGGGTGAGAACCACAGGGGCAAGAGTCAGGGTCTTTGGGGCCCCATATTCCTACCTACATTCCTCAGTCCTTTTTTTTTTTTTTTTTTTTTTTATTTTTTTTTTTTTATTTTGAGAGAGAGAGAGACAGGGCACGAGCAGGGGAAGGGCAGGGAGTGAAGGTGAGAGAGAATCCTAAGCAGGCTCCCCTCTGCCAGCGCAGAGCCAGACTTGGGGCTCAGTCTCACCAATCCCCAGATCATGATCTGAGCCGAAATTAAGAGCCGGATGCTTCACGGACTCAGCCACCCAGACCCCCCGCCCCCCCCCCCCCCCCCCCCCCCCCCCCCCCCGACACCTTTTTTTTTTCTTCCGTCCTAATTCCACTCTCAAACCCTCTCACTTCTTCATCCCACCGCATCCTCATGTTCTCACTCCGAACTCTGTTCCTATAGGCAGATAATGGCTAAAATCCTTGCGGAGGGAAGCGGGGAGGCAGGATATTAATTCAACTTGGGAGGGGGTCACCGTCAGCCACTTGGTGGCGCAGGTGAGCAGTTCTAGTTTTCCTTGGCTTTGGTCTTTATCCTGCCGAAAAAATATCTTTCCTGTTCAACCCAGTAGCAGAAATAAAAAGGAGGGAGGAGGAATAATAATAAGCCACTTACATATTGTCTACTCTGTGCCAGGCAAAACTTTTAAGAAGATCTATTAGAGTGGTGGCTAAGAGTTAGGTTTTACAGCCAGACCCCAGCTCAGTCATCCCCCAGCTATAACGGCCTGGAATATGTTACTTCACCTCTCTGTGCCTCAACTTCCACGTCTATAAAGTGGAGAATGATAAGGCCCACCTCTTGGAATTATTATGAGGATTAACTTAACATCAGTATACTGCCTAGAGTAACCTATGACATGCAATGACCTACATGGCATCATATTCTCATTTCTTTACCTGAATTTACCATTCACAACACTCTAATGAGGTACTATTATCATCCCCATTTTATTTCATTTCACTTTTTTTTTAACGTTTATTTATTTTTGAGACAGAGAGAGACAGAGCATGAAGGGGGGAGGGTCAGAGAGAGGGAGACACAGAATCTGAAGCAGGCTCCAGGCTCTGAGCTGTCAGCACAGAGCCCGACGCGGGGCTCGAACTCTCGGACCGCGAGATCATGACCTGAGCCGAAGTCGGCCGCTTAACCGACTGAGCCACCCAGGCGCCCCTCATTTCACTTTTTATCATCCCCATTCTACATACCCAGAAACTGGTTTGCCCAAGATCACAGAACTCGTAACTGCAGAGTCGGGATTGGAACCCGGGAACTCGCCCTTGTATCGTCGGCCAGATCCTTCTTGGTCCCGGATTTAAAGCACCTTTACAGATCTTTAGATGGGTGGGTCTGTGACGTCTCCAACCATTAGCTTCATATGTTTTTCTCCGAGAATTTGGGACCGGAGCCCCTCACCCCGTCTCATCTCACCGCTCCTGGGCCACCTCCCCACCCCCGCAGGTCGCCGAGTGTGCCTGGGCGAGTCGCTGGCGCGCATGGAGCTCTTCCTCTACCTCACCGCCATCCTGCAGAACTTCTCGCTGCAGCCGCTGGGGGCGCCCGAGGACATCGACCTGACGCCGCTCAGCTCCGGGCTCGGCAACTTACCGCGGCCTTTCCAGGTGTGCCTGCGCGCGCGCTGACGCCGCGGCCCTTCCAGATCCGCCAGGGAGCCGGGAGGCCCGCCGTGGGGCTGGCGCCGTCCTCTTCTCGTTCCAACTGTGCCCGTGATCCCTCTCGCTGTCACACTCGCTTCCCCGCACCTGAGCCTGCCGCCTACCGGTCCGTCCGGCCCCCCCATCTCGACCTGGTCGGCGCCCCCCAGAAGCAGAGAAGCGCAAAGGGAAGGGGAAGTGCTTGCCTCGTTCCTATTGCGCGCCCTCTTGGGGGCCGTTTGAGTCATTTTCTAGTAAACTGTAAAAGATTCCAACTGCCTGGGCTGAATTATAGAGAGGACGGTCCCCCAGGATGGGGGGAAGGAATGTCTGGCTGCAGAGAAAGGAGACACCAAAGTGACCGGTTCTACCGTCACCCTTAGAGTGGCTAAAAACTGGGAGAAATTGTTTCCCAGGGTAATAAGGGCTGTGAGGCCTGACGACAGAGAGGCAGAGAAACCCAGGCAGAGAAAAAGACAGCAGTCTAGAGACATAAGGATGCGGTCGGCCCAGAGATGCGGTACAAAGGTGGAGATATAAGCAGGGAGAACATGAGAGACTGAGCGATAGACACACAGAGACTGAGAAATAACAACTACTCAAACTTACACAGTGCTTCCTATTCACTCTAAGGCCCCGTTCAAATCTCCCTGTGAGGCAGAGCAGCATGTTACACTTTTAGAGACTCAGAGAGAGGAAATGCCTTGGCCAAGATCACACGGCCGGAGGGCGACAGAGCTGGGATCAGGATGCAGACTCCAACGCTGGTCCCCTCCACCTCACAAGTCAGAGACACAGAGCAATGCAGAGGGGTACAGGGACGGAGAAATGGGGAGACAGAGAGGAGAGAGAGAGACAAAGAAAGAAACAGAAATGGCCAGAGAAAGCCAGAGAAGAAGGGCAATGAAGGGGGGAAGGGAGGCACCAGGAAGCCTGAAAGACTATTCCCTTGTCTTGCAATGTCTCCCTCTGGGGTAGGGATAGCAGTCCCAGGCATGGGGCCTCCCAACCTGAGACTGGGCTTGTTAGCCTGACATCCTGCTGACAGAAGCTTTTCTCAATGAGTAGGCAGGCATCTTAAGCTCCAAGGAGCCAGAGTCAGAGGGGCGGTGGCCCCCCAGCCATGGGCGGAGGTGGCTTAGGTGACCGTACCCTAAACGGGGCCTCCCCAAGGCCATCCAGAAGCTAGGACACAACACACTCTGCTGAGACTTATAGGCGGTCCCCACACCCATAGGCGTCGGCTCCTTAATCCCCATGCTGTTCCCACCACAGGCCAACAAGAGTCTGCCCCAAGGGCCCAGGCAGGGACGCAGAGGTGGAGAGAGAGAGGGAGAGACTCAGAGGTCCCGAGAAAGAAAGATGGGGAGACAACAGCAAAGAGAAACACATGGAAATACTGAAAAAGAGTTGGAGAGAGACAGGAGAGACCAAGAGATGCAGAGACAGATGGGAGAGATCATGAAAACCAAAGACCAGGAGTGAGACAGAGAGACAGTGGACAGATGCTCAGAGAGAAGGAAGACAGGAGATGCTAAAACAGAGATAGAGGGGCGCCTGGGTGGCTGAGTCAGTGAAGCACCCGACTTCGGCTCAGGGCATGATCTTGAGGTTCATGAGATCGCACCCTGAGTCAGGTTCTACACTGACAGCGCAGAGCCTGCTTGGGATTCTCTCTCTCCCTCTCTCTCTGCCCCTCCCCTACTCATGCTCGCTCTCTCTCACTCTCTCTCTCTCTCAAAATAAATAAACACACACACACACACAAGATGAGACAGAGACACAAGAAGAGAGACAGTCACAAGGATTCAGCAAGACAGAAACTGAGAAAAATAGAGTCTAAGTTAGAGATAGAAACAGACAGAATTCGGGATACAGAGAGTCATGCATTGGTTCAACATTTACTGAGCCCCCACTGTGTATTTTAGTGCTGGGGATACAGAAGTGAACAACAAATGCCAGCTCTTGAAGAGACCCAGAGAAAGCAGTTAATCTGAAAGCCTGACACAGTGGGATGGGGCCAGGTCAGGGGAGGGCACACCCCGCAGCACCCCTGCTGTCTCTGGAGTCAGCCCCTGTAACCGGGGAGGGGGGGGGGTAGGGCGGCGGGGGGCAGGGGGCCTGCCCACACTCCTTGCCAGTCATTGGGTTCCTGGACAGAAAGGCTGACAGGGAAGGAGATCCATGGCAGAGATAGAGGCAGGGAGACAGGGAAGAGGGAGATTAAGGGTAAGATAAACTGGGAGGGATACAGATATGAACAGAAGCAGGTACTGAGAGTAAAACAGAAAGAGAGAGATGAACAAAGAAACAGAAATTGAGAGTGAGAGATGAAACAAAGATAGAGACAGAGATACTGAGAGACATTCCTGGAAACAAGCCCAGTTCCAGACAGTGCACAGCCCCCACCCTCTCCCCACCTCTGGGCCCTGTGCCAGGCACCTGTCAGAAGGCTAGATCTGGTGAGGCACGGCCAGGTGAGGCAGGTGCTGGTGGGAGGGTGGGCCTCATTCCTGAACAGTGTTTTGAGCTCTGACTCAGCCCCATCCCCAACCCTACCCCTGGGCACCTTGTGCCCTCTGGCCCACACCCCCAGGCGTGGCCATCAAGACCTGGCCTCAGGTGGGGGTGCCCAGTGAGACTCATGGGAAACTGGAGACATGGGGTGCAGCAGCATGGGCATGGGACATTCAGGGACATCTCGGAACTAGAGCATTGGGAACAGAGGTGGTGAGGGGTTCAGGGTAAGGCACAAGGCGGTCAGCATGTGGGAAGGCACCCAAGAGTCATAAGGCTAGGCACAGAAGTGCCAGGCTGATGGGTGCCAGGAGGCCAGGGGACTTGAGGGAGCATCTGGTAGATAGGTACAGAATACCAGGTTCCAAGAGCAAGGGAATGGAAGTGACAAGGGCTCAGGTGCGAGTCCCTAGCAATCACAAGCACAGGGCACAGGAGTGCCAGGCTAAAGGGTATGTCACCAGGGGTGTTTTTAGGAGTCAAGAACGTATTTAGGAATCAGAAGTATAGAGTACAGCATTCAGGGGGTCTCGGGCCCAAAGGTGGCCAGGGCATTCAGAAATGCACATCTACAGGCCAAGTAAGATGGACCTGAAGGACCCAAAGGCTCAGTAGGGTGCACCTGTTGGCCAGGTGTATTGATGTGAAAGATGCAAACAGGTGCATTGACATGGAAGTTGCCAAATAGGGCACGCTGGGCCTGGCACAACAGAGAGCTAGAGCTGGGGGGCTGGGTGGAGACCTCGGATGGGGAATCTGCAGAATGAGTGGTCTGGAGACGCCCACCTCTCCCACTCCCGGTATGCGCCCCTGCTCCACCCAAGACCCAAAGGGAATCACATAAAGGCAAAGGGGGGCAGGCATGGAGGACACAGAGCATGATGTCCACGGGTGTCACAGCGCTGTTACTGCTGCTGGCGCTAGCCAGGCGGGGTTGGGGTGCACAGGGCACTCAGCCTCGGGGGTCCTACCCCCTGGGCCCAGGCCGCTCCCACTGCTGGGGAACTTGCTGCAGCTGGAGTCTGGACGGCTGGACCATACTCTCATGGAGGTAGCCCCGAGAGTGGGTGGGGATGGGGGGAAGGATTCTGGACTCGTGGAGGTGGGACTGGGGGCTAGAACACACCTGGTTCTCTGAATGAAGACAGCTGAGGGCTCTGACCCCATGAGCCCTGAGGAAGGTTGAGGGGCCTGGAGTCCTGGGTTCCAGGAGAGGAGACTGGGGGTGGAAGCTGGGAGCCCCGGCATCAGTTTGAAGGAGGAGGGGGACAGTGGGCCTGAGCTCCCGGTGCCGTCCGCTCCCTGCCTCCCTCTACCCGCCCCAGTTTCTGGGTCCTGAGGGAGTTAACAGCCTAGGGTGGGACGTCAGATAGGGGATCCGGGGGGAAGGGGTGCAGAGAGGTCTGCTCTCCTGGTTCAGGGTGGGGAGGAGAGTACCGAGGGCTCACACGCCTGGTTCTGAGGGTGCAGAGGGCTCGGGACCTCGTCTTCCAGATCTCGAGGGAAGTGGGAGCTGGGGTCCTGGACTCCTGCGGATGAAGGAGGAGGTGGGGATCTGAGCGCCTCGGCCAGGAACGAGGGGCTGAAATGGGGACTCCTGGGTCTGAAGTTAGAGAGAGATGGGGGCGGGGCTCTGGGGTGGAGGAAGCGGTCAAGAGTCCCGACCGGGACCCGCTGAGCACCGGCTCTGCGCAGCTTTCTGGCCGCTGGGGCCCGGTGTTCACAGTGCGGCTGGGCCGGCGCCCTGCAGTGGTTCTCTGCGGCTACTCAGCGCTGCGGGACGCATTAGTGCTGCAGGCGGATGCCTTCTCTGGCCGCGGGGCCACGGCTGTGTTCGAACGCTTCACTCGTGGAAACGGTGAGTCCCCGGCGGCGGCGGAAGTGCTGGTCTGGACCACCGAGTTCGAGCGATTTAAAGGGCTGGACCGGGGCAATAGGGCGGTGCCTAATAAGAATAAAGGCCAATGAAGGCAAACAGCAGGAAGGTGGGGCCGAGCTAAAAGGGACCAAATAGGAGCGGGGGCGGGGGGTGGTGCCCGTTCCTCGTGCAGCCAATAGAAGAGAAGAGCCTAAGAGTCAAAGCCAAAGAGATCAGGCGCTCGTAAGGGATCGAGACCAGTAGAGGTGAGGCCAATGTGCGGATAGGACCGAGAAGGCTGGGTTTGCAGCAAAAAGGTCTGGAAAGCAGCAGAGTGAAGGGTGGCGAGGAGGCGGGCTCCAAGACCGGACGCTTCCAGGACGGGCGTGGCCAACTCCCCGGGCCGTCCCCTGCTCTGCCCCACCCCCAGGCATCGTGTTTTCTAACCGGCGGCGCTTGCTGACGCTGCGAAATTTTGCACTGGGAGCACTGCAGGAGTTCCGGCTGGGAGCGCGGACCATAGAGGAGCGCATCTTGGAGGAGGCGGATTGTCTGCTCGGCGAATTTCAAGCCACCATTGGTGCGGCCTGGTCGGGAAAGGAAAGGGACCTTTTGTGGATGTGGCTAATGATCAAGAAAGGGTTGGTGGGGCGCCCTGACTGGCTCAGTTGGTAGAGCGTGGGACTCTAGATCTCAGGATGTTCCAGCACCGCGTTGAGTGTAGAGATTACTTAAAAAGGAGGTGCGGCACATTTGTAGTGAACAAAGTCAGTAAGCCAAGCCACCGCATTAAGATCCCGTCCTGTTTCCACTCCCAGGAGCACCGTTTGACCCCCGGCGGCTACTAGATAATGCTGTATCTAATGTTATCTGTTCGGTGGTCTTCGGGAACCGCTATGGCTATGAGGACCCTGAGTTCCTGAGGCTCCTGGACCTCTTCAATGACAACTTCCGCATCATGAGTTCCAGATGGGGTGAGAGGGCCCACCCCAGTCCCTTCCTCCCGTGTCAAACCTGTGCCAAGCCCCAAGTACATACACTTTGCCTATATTGGATCATTAGATTGAGAGTCTTGGAATCTTGGAAGGGAAGAGTTCTAGAACTAAGAACATTAAAATCCTGGTGCAAGGGCACCTGGGTGGCTCGGTCTGTTAAGTGTCCAACTCTTGATCTCAGCTCAGGTCTTGATCTCAAGGTCATGAGCTCAAGCCCCGGGCTGGACTCTGTGCTGGGACTAAAGCCCTACTTTAAAAAAAAAAAAAAAAAAAGTCCTGGTTGTAATTTCCCCTGCAGGGGACCTAGTGGTCTTGTTCAAGGTCCAGTTGCCACCTTGTGCCCCCAGATGTACAATATTTTCCCCTCCCTCCTTGACTGGCTCCCGGGTCCACACCACCGAATCTTTCAAAACTTCACGGAGCTTCAGGTCTTCATCTCTGAGCAAATCCAGCAGCACCAACAGACACAGCAGCCAGGGGAGCCCCGCGATTTCATTGATTGCTTCCTCGATCAGATGGAGAAGGTGCAGGCCCGTTACCCTAAATTCTACCCATGCCGCCCACCAAGAGGTGCCAGGCACATGGCAGCCGCCCATCTCTGTACGCAGGAACAGAAAGACCCAGAGAGCCATTTCCAGGAGGAGACGTTGGTGATGACCACACACCACCTTTTCTTTGGCGGCACTGAGACCACAAGCACCACTCTGCGTTACGGGCTCCTTTTTCTGCTTAAGTACCCTGAGGTGGCAGGTCTGTGAGCTGGAAAGCCTGGGATGAGGGGCTAGGGTTTGGGGTGGCTGGGGGTCAGGACACACGCAGCTCACGCCCTCTGCCCACCCCAGCCAAAGTGCAGCGGTAGGTCGGACACGCACCCTGAGGCTGGAGGGCCGCAAGCGCCTGCCCTACACCAACGCGTGCTGCACGAGATCCAGCGCTTCATCAGCGTGCTGCCGCTGGGGCTGCCACGCACCCTCACCCGGGACACCCACTTGCGTGGCTACTTTTTGCCCAAGGCACCCACCGAGCAAGGGGATTCTGTGCAGGGCCCCAGAGCTCCTAGAACCTAAAGCATCAGACCTGAGCCTGTCCGATGCTGAGTTACAAAGTCCTGGGAACAGAAAAGAAGGTCCACCTTCCCAGTGGCTTTTACAAGGGGTCTTGGATGGATAAAAGGCCGTGGCTAATCAAGTCCACAGGGTAATCCTTATGCATCCCCCAGGGCATCTTTGTGATTCCTCTCCAGGTGTCTTCACACCAGGACCCCACCCAATTCAAGGACCCAGACTGCTTCAATCCCACCAACTTCCTGGACGACAAGGGCGAGTTCCAGAGCAAAGATGCCTTCATGTCCTTTGCCCCAGGTATGGGCCAGGAAGGGAGGGGACAAGCCTGGGCAACATTCCCCCAGCCTTCCAGCTCCACCTGGTGGCCCGCTGAGGCCAGGCTCAGCTGCCCTCTGCTCACTGGCTCTCAGACCTCCTTACCTGTCTTGGTCAATAAAGGCCCTGAATTGCAAATAGACAGGTCTCCTTACCAGTAAGAGGGAGAGGAAGAGTCAGAAGTTTGCAGCTCTGAGGTAAACTTTTATTTCTTGGCTGACAGGACTTTTCACGCCCATGCTCCTCCCAGCACCTCTTCTCCTGCCCACGTAGTGGCAGCCTAGTCCAAAAGGTGCCACGGCCATAGGGGTTGGGGAGTCACTTCACATTCCAGGCTGGAGGAGTTGGGGGGGAGGGGCTTGGAGATACTCCCCCGCCACAACAAACCTTTGCCAGCATTAGGCCATGACATTCCCACCCCTATTCCTGCATCCTGGCGGGAGGCAGCAATACCTCCTTCCAGCTCTCCATGTCTGAGCACAGGGCAAGCCACGGGCCCCCAGCTCCAGTGACGGTAGTTCCCAACGCTGGCCCCTGCCCAGGTCACAACCCCAGCCCCCATCAAAGGGCAGCAGAGGTCTCTCCTCCTCCTTGGTCCTCAGCGTCAGACGGAGCCCTCCACACCAAGCAGGACAGAGGCAAAGCCAGAAGCAGCAGCGGTGGCAGAAAAGGAGCAGGCACCGAGACCGGTGGGCTGCTGGGCCAGCAGCACAGGGGCCAAAGGCTCTCCCGAAGTCAGGGCAAGCTGTCTGTCCATGCAGCTCTGGAGCTGGCCACTAGGTGGGCGTAGCAGGTTGTGAGACAGGTACTGGGACACCTTTCTGCCCGGATGCTGGGGGTTAAGAGGAGAGGAGAGGGGGAGTCATCAGGGAAGGGACACAGAAGCCAAGAATAACCTGGGAAGATGGAGGAGAGGACCAGAAGAAATGGGGCTCATGCTGGGGGGTGCTGGGAGAGTGGGGCTGTCTAGAGAAGATGGGCAGAGAGGAGAAAAAAATGAGTCACAAAATTTAGTTAAGAGACTGACAAGGTGAATTAGGGGACTTGAGGCCTTGGGAGGCACATGGAATAGTAAGGGTTTGAGGGAGGGGATGCCCTTTGGGAAGCAGGTACCTAGCTGATACTTGTCTTTGGCTGCTGCCCGCTCCTTGGCATCAAAATACCAGACAGTGATGGCGTACCTGGGGACCAGAGCAGCCCCAAAGGGCAGTTAGAGATTACTCTTCTTCAATTCCAGCCACCGTATCCAGTGACACTAGAGTTCACCCTTCGGAGCCTGGTTCTGTTCCCATCTAGGCCCCTCTCAAGCACCTCACCACTCCCTGGCCACTCCCGGGGTCTGACAAGTCTTTGTTGGCACAGAACGGGACGCCTGAGCACATCCCCACAAGCATGGGTCATACCTGGTGGCATAGGCTGGTTTCACCTCATGGGGGTTCCGCCGATCAGACCAGAAAATGAGCAACCGATCAAAGAGTGGCTCGATGTTGGCAACCACAGGCCGGCCCTCAGGGAAGATCTGCAGCAGGCCGCCATGCACCTGAGGGCAGGCCAGAGGATGAGGCAGGAGGCTGGCCGGTCCAGCCCCCACCCTCTGCCTTGCACTACCCTGCCCTCCGGAGCCTGCCAGGGGGATGTGGCAGCTGCACATATCATTCCCTCCCACCACTCAGGTTCTTAAAGTGAATGACAGCCCAGAGTCTGCATCACCATGGAGCCGGGGCAGGAAGCTACTAAAGACAGGAAATGGGATGGGGTAGGGGTGGGGGGGAGGGGAGGGGAGTGTTCCTTAGACCAGGGGCGAGGCAGACAGCACCATTCACCAAAGGGGGAGGGGGGTGCGTGCTGCCACCACGTGGTCAGCTGGAGAGAAGGAGGTGCCATTTCCCAGGAAAAGCCAGCCAGCAGGCTATAACTGCACTGCCGGCTGTGGACTGAGAAGAGGAACGGGAGAATGCCAGAAGCTGAGCTGGGAGCGGAAAATGGAGCGGATGCAGCCGCCTCACCCTCACCCCCTACCTTGACGTCCCAGTTCTGATTCAGGTAATAGATACAGGTGATGCAGCGGCCATCGCCATGGGGATTGTCAACATGCCTCACGTACCCCAGCCCGTTGCCTGGGTAACACGCCACCATGGCCTGGCAGAGACAGATGGAGGTGGGTTTACTGGGGCTAGGCAGCGATATTTGGGGAAGAAGCCATTACCTCCTCTCTTTCACCCCTCCGTGCCCCTTGTCTGTCCCCTGACTCCTCCAAGAGCTCCAGCCCCCAGACTTTCTTCTTTTCCAGCTAAGTCACCATCTACCAGAAACCTCAGCTCTTGGGCCTGAATAACCCTCTCCCTGTACACACGTGCCCAGAGCCTGGCACCCAGGTGGGGCTCAATGAGCAACTGAGGATTTTACTTCTTAAAGATAAACTGACCCCCGCCCCTCTGAGACCTTTCAGTGGAATAAAACCAATTTAAATGTTTTCTGGTATGGAAGAATGTGGCCTACTGCTCTAGACCACGGTTCCTGACCTTGGCTTCAGAGTGGAATCACCTGGGATGCTGATGCCCAGGCCCATCTCAGAGGTTCTGAAATATTTGGTCTAAGGTGGAGGCTGGAAATTTTAAAGGTTCCCCCAAGTAATTCTAATGTGCAGCAATGCTGAGGACTGCTGCCCTTGACTACAAAGAATCCCAAGTTGTGTGTTTCCTACACATATGAAAAGGTACCCAAACCCCGAGTGTGACTAGAACCTGAAATCCAACTCCCACTCCAAGAATGACCTGCTGGGTAGCCCCTGACAGTCCCGTCATCTAGATGGGCCTCAATGGCCTCATCTGTACTAAACACCTCCTCTGTTTACTGCCCTCTAACTTCAGAACTCTGAATTCCTGACCCCCACAGACCTAAGAGAAATCACTCCAGCTCTTGGCTTCGGTGTGTACAGGTCTAGCCACAGGGTTCTGACCTCCTCCCCCTGCTGGGTGCCATCCCCCTGGCCAGCCTTGACCACATGGAGGCCTAGGCCCTGGCCACTCGGGGTACCTGTTTCTCATTAGGGAGCTGACAGAAAAGTGGATGTGGTGTAAGGAAAAGGGCCCAGGCATTCCTTCAGACCTAACTCCCAGGTTCGAGTCCCAGTGCTGCCACACGAGCTGTAACATCAAGTGAGAGACTTCACTTCCCTGTCTCAGGTCCCGCATCCATGAAATGGAGCTGATCAACTACCTCACAGGTATTGTGGGAAGCAAACAAGAAAGATGTTTGGGCAGGCACCAAGCAAGGTGCCTGTCACATGGAGAGCCGAAGCACAGACTAAAATGACACTAAAAAGAAAAAAAAAAAAAAAGTCCCTATCCTACCCTTTGCCCAAAGCCACTTGGGAGGACTGTGTAAGGCAAAAGGGGAGTAATGGCAGGCAGACCCTCCAGCTCCTTGGACCACCTGTCTCGACGCCTTGACCCACATTGGTGCCAGGCCACAGACCACCTGCTGATGCTCCCCACGAACACTCAGCTACATCTGTTGGCCACAGCCCTGAAAGATAGCCCTGACCAGGAAGATTGGCATCTGCTGCCAAAACAGGAGCCTTGCCTAGCACTCTGTGGCAGGCCAGGCCGACTCAATCCTCAGCCTTCTTCCAACACATCACTCCCAGGGCTCAACCCAGCACGAATGGTAAACAGCTCTGCGTTAAACACGTGTCCCCGAAACAGCACAGCGCCTCCCTGGGGAGGAGCATCCAGGAGGGCTTCAGCTGGGTAAGGCCATCCAGCCGTGGAGAGCCATGCTTCTCTCTGGCAGCGCCAGGGCGAGACCTTGGCCCCCACACCCCTGGTTCAGGAGAACCTTCTTTGCACTACTCACTCCCTGCAAACGGGTCAGTGTTCTGAGCAACCACACCACTGGGAGGAAGAATGCGGCTATGTCCGGGTGGCCTGCCATCAAGCCCTCCCCAGACAGAATCCAAGCAGAGATTTTGCTGGTTCTGCACAAGGACGGGGTGAGGAAGGGAGTCCAGTACTGTGGCCTCTTTCCCACAATCCATCCCCACACGGCAGCCAGAGACCCTTTTCTCCAGCTCTTCCTTGCTCAGATCCCTTCAAGACCCCCACCACATTCCAAGAAAATACAAAATATAAATTGTGTATTTTCACAGCCTCAGCCTTCAAGGCCACCAACCTCACCTACCATCCCCATCACTCTGCTCCAGCACCTCAGGCCTCCTCACTGCTCTCACCAGACCAAGCTCAGCCACAAGGCCTCTGCACCTGCCTGGTACACACCTCCCCTGGTCCTCCTTGTTGTTCATGTCTCAGGTCCAAGGGCACCTTGAGTATCCAGCTGAATACACCTGGGCTGATCTTCCATTCTACCCTCTCAATGTGAAATCAGCACAAGTACTTGTTTACCTAGTACTGGCCTGACAGGCAGGCCCACGGAAGCCTCTGGGGCCGAGCTTGTCTCCCTAGCGCCCAGGCAGTAGCTGCTGACTGAAAGCACTCCTATGGGTCTCAGGGACTCCAACCTGTCCAGCCCTCCACACCCTTACACAGGGTCTCCCACCCATGCATGCAGGGACAGCGTCTGTATTCTGGCATGGAATGGGAGTTGTGCATGAAGGCTGGCAACAGAAACAGGCCCTTTAAACTCCCACCGATCCCCCCACCCACCCACCCACCCCCACACACACCATGGCCCCAGAGAAGCATCTACTTCCGCTCCTACAAGGGAAAAGGACAAGCAGAGTGACATGGAAGTCTGCTCCTCACCCTCCCATCTCAGGGAAGGGGTAGCTTGTGTCAGAGCCAGGAGACTTAAAGATTTAAGGGCTATTGGTGACAACGTGCCAAAAACCCAAACCCAAACACACACACACACACACACACACACACACACACACACACACACACA